TCGGGAAAAATACAGAAGAGAGATGGGTGGGTTCCGTAAGTTAGTTAGATTTCCTCTTTATAAATATGATCTAACCGTATTGCTAGAAATTTCATTTAAATTTAATATATAAAAAAAGAATGATGTGCATTCTTGAACCCGGCAGTGTAATATTGCTATTTCTAGCATTTTGATATTTTCTTTCTGTTGGCCTTTCCACCATCATTATGTATAAGATGCACTTTTAAGAGGTTGTAACTACTCTGGGGGCTGAAGAGATGGCTCAGCGGTTAAGAAGATAGGTTGTCATCCGTAGAGGTCCTGAGTTCGAATCCCAGCAACCACATGGTAACTCACAACCATCTGTAACGAGATCAGGTGTCCCCTTCTGACATACATGCAGACAGAACGCTGTATACATAATGAATAAATAAATCTTTTAAAAAGAAGAGGTTGTAATTACTCTCAGTCATTCTTCTGTATTATGCCCTGTGTCTACCCACATTATGCATATTAGAATAGCTCTCACCCTAACCAGTCTCCTCAGTGATCCTGGTCTTCCCTGAATGTGTCTGTTCATTCAATGAGGTGGCTTTGCTCACTACACAGGTGTCACTCAGGAAATTACCAAGAGAAACTAAAGAAGAGCTTAAAGAAACTGGAGTTGGCAGAAAAATCATACATGCACATTCACATGCGCGCGCGCACACACACACACACACACACACACACACACACACCAACCCAGGACGCACACATGCACACACATACACCAACCCAGCATGTCTTTTTCCTAATCCCTAGACCCTGTTAGTATGTTACATTATAAGGCAAAGAGCAGAGGGTGAAATTGCAGATGGAACTGGGACTGCTAATTGAACAGACTTTGGTTTGCTGAGGATTGAACTCAGGATCTTGGACACGCGTGTCAAGTCTCTCCCACCGAGTTACACCCCTGGCCCCTGTGCTTTGTTTTGTTTTTGTTTTGTCTTGAGACAGGGTCTCCTCTTATAGTTCAGGCTGCTCTTAAACCTAAAACCTTCCTGCCCCTACCTTCTGTACACTGGGTTTACAAAACTGTGCTTGTCTTGCTGGTCTTAAAATGGAAAATTATTTTAGATTCTTTTGTGGGCCTGATGAAGTTACGAGGCCTTTTTTATTTTTTTCTGAAACAGGGTTTCTCTGTGCAGCCTTGGCTGTCCTGGAGCTCACTCTGTAGACCAGGCTAGCCTCAAACTTACAGAGGTCAACCTGCCTCTGCCTCCCTAGTGCTGGGATTAAAGGTGTGCACCACTACTGCCTGTCCAGGTAGGATTTTTTTTTTAATATAAAGACTCAGGGGGCTAGAGAGATGGCTCAGAGGTTAAGAGCACTGTTTTCTTTTCCAGAGGTCCTGAGCTCTATTCCCAGCACCTACATGGTGGCTCACAACCGGCTGTAATGAGATCTGGTGCCCTTTTCTGGCCTGCAGACAGAATACTATACACATAATAAAGAAATCTAAAAAAAAAAAAAAAAAAAAAAAGGACTCCAGTGTAAGAAGAACCCTGTTCACCGTTGCTGGCTTGGAGCAAGGGACGAAAATCAAGGAACACAGGATTCTTTAAAAGCTGGCAAAGGCTTTAGGGGAACAGTTTGCCAGGATCTCCAACAGAAACCACAGGCCTAGCCACACCTAGATATTATTGGTTCATTGAGACACATCTCAAACTTCTAGCTGCTGGAAGTGTAAGATAATGCATTTGTATTAGCTGAGTCACTAATTGTATCTGAGTTGTTATAGCAGCCACAAGAAACCCATACAGGGGCCAAGATCAGCTTTCAAGGGCTAAGTGAGACAATATGCAAGTAGTCCAACCCCTGATTTGTCTTGGAGACTCCTTGCACCTCAAGCAAGCTGCCCAACCAAACTCCCACTGAAGCATTCAAAATACTTACTAACAAGGGCAGCAAGGGATTCTTGTCCATATTCACAGGGTCATCTGTCTGCATTAATAAAGGCCATAGCATCTCAGAAGAGGCAGAGATGTGGACACTCAGGGAACAATCAGTTGCAGCAAAGGTTTAGAGAGAAGAAGTGAGATTTCAAACCACCTAGAAGAGGTCTCCTGTCTTAGTGGCCCCCACAAATCCAGAGATCACACTTTGGCTCCTGTCTAGCAGCCCCCATGAATC